TGGGATGAGCCCGGGTGGTTGTGGTGGAGTCAGCAGTCACTGGAATTGCCATTAATGCTCCTCAGTGGGTGGTTTGTGGGAGCTCTGTGCACCCGCTGGAGCTGATGTGGGACCTGTGATGTGCTCGGCGTAAGCATGGGGGAAGTAGACCTGCAAAACAGACTCCTGTGCCCAAAGCTGCCCTTGGGGCCACAAGGCGGCCTCACTTCACAGGGAGGGAGGTGGTGGCACGTGCACGCTGCCAAATATGCGCACAGCCTCACTGAGAGGAGCGTGCGGCAGCGACACACGCGTCCTCGGCGCCGTCCCGCAGCGGGGCCGGGGCTGCAGGCCGGCTGCTCCCCATGCAGCGCTCCGTGCGCCTGCGCTGAGGGGATGAGGCGCCACGGGGGCTGCGCCTGTTGGATTCCTGTTTGGGATCTCTGCTCCCTCGGAAGCAGCAAGTTTTGTGCTGGGGGGCGAGCTTGTCTGCGCTTGCTCGTGATGGCCACCACGCACGGCGAAGGGGACGGCACGAGCTGTCTTCAAGCAGTCAGAACTGCTTCGTTTTTAGTGGTCGGGTACCTCGCTGGCCTTCCCTTCTGGTCTCCCATCAATGTATGGAGCTCCTAGGGAAAGTGTTCTTGGAAGGATTTGTAAACTGCGCAGAGAATTGAGCATGTGAGGGTGACTGAACGAGCTTTCTATCTCTTGGATAAGTCTGGATATTTTGCAATACTGAACATTTTGTGTTACCCTAAGTTATTGCTTTCTGAATCTTGCCTGTAAAAACAAGGATTCTACAAACTAGTCGCAGACAATACTGGAAATGTGAATCTGTAGCTAAGACTAAAAAAGGAATAACGCCCTGCCTGGGTTTCCAGGCAGGTCATTCAGTGCTGGCTGAAGGCGTCAGCTGGAAATGAGCAGGGCTGTAAAATTTCACAACTCTCCTACCTCTTTCCTGTGTGCTCTTGCCAGTGGAAACAATATCTTGAAAAATCTGAAGTTTATTTCCAGTTAGAAGTTTGACCACTGAAGGGAGACATCGTAGAGCATCCATAGTGCTGGCTGCTGCTTGATTCTGAAGGCTGCTGGGTGCTATAGGATGGCTTAACAACAGTGTGAACTTGGCAACTAGGCGAGATGCTGAAGCACTCATGGTCCTTGCAGCTTCACCAGTTGTTTCCTCTTCCAGGTTTCTGGAAACACTACCTTTCCCCTGCTATTCTGAGGGGCTCGGGAAGGCGCAGATAAAACTGAAGGCACTGAAGGAATGAGCCTAGCATAAGGGCAGACCTTCTTTGTCAGCCGTGGCTCTTGATGTCTCTGCCTGGTTTGAGAAGGGAGAAGCAGCGTGCGGTCCTGGCTTGCCTGCACTGCCGCAGTGCCAGCCTTTGCTGCCCTAACGCAGCCCCAGCGACTGCCCAAGTCCACCTTGTATCTGAAAGGCTCTGGCCTCGCACTGGGCCAGACGGGTGCATTTTGCAGGCACCAAAATGCAGGGATCAATGCCCCGCGCTCCCTTTCCAAGCTGTGCTGTGCCAGCAGCCCAGTGCCCATCAATCCGCGGGCACAAAGCCGCCACTTTCCCGGGATGCGGAGTGGATAAAACAACCGCTGCGGAAGGG